CTAGGGGTGTTTCTAAGAGTATACCCGTGTGAATCAAGTTCTAGAGCTTGGAAATGCTTTCTGATACTTTTTAATTTATTAGGATAGAGACAAACCATCTACGTCCTGTCAAGATTTGTATGCATCTTCGCTCTTCCTCTTCACTTACTTTCAGAAGAACCGAAAGCCAATGGTGGGAAAGAATGGATATGTATGATTGATTACAAGGCAAGCTCTTTGGGGTAGGGAGAGGCTACTTCCCCACTCCTACTGCAGTTTTGAAAGGGAGAAGCAGTAGTGTGAGTTCAAGATCCTCATAGAAACCATTTCACTTAATTCTTAAGTCAGTCTGTGATTCATGATTGTAAAGCATGCCCTTGCAAACAGAGACGACCATTTCTCTGACACATGCAGTGAATGTGATGTGAAAGGAAAAAGAAACGGAGTCAAAAATGTGGAAAGCACTACTGCCTGTGCAATAGTCTGCTTACTACAAGATTTCTAAATTAATCTATATCTCAGAGCAAGGGTATGGCTGAGGGAAGATAAGTTGTGCCTACGGGAATGACCACAATGTGGGAGTGGGATTGATTTGTCTGATAACAACAAAATGTCCTGAAGAAAACCTCCATAGATTCCAGTAAAACAGGAACCCTGTTTTAATCCATGAAGAAAAATTATTTGCCTTTTACTGTTGTCACTTAGAAGGTGCCGTGTGACCTTTCTGTGCTTTATTTCTTATGAGCTGAAAAGCTAATATTGCAAAAAGATAATTCTAGCAGGTTCGTGTGAAATTACTAGACAAAGGATACCATCATGCAGTGAAGGAAGAGGCTTGGAAACAGACTTCTAAAAATCAGGAGTGCATTATGATTACTGTATTCTTCAGGATGACTGCTAAATTGATTGATATACTTACAGAACTAGTTGCAAATGATCCGTGATCATTCCTTTCACAAATGTGAGGATTTCCTAATGTCATCAAGCAAGATTATGTAATCAATCATTGGATAAACAGCTTTGCTATTTTTCACAATTACTGTCTTTAATAGTTTTTCCAAATTAATGTAATTTCATTTAAAACATTTTAAAACGGTTACTGTTACTGCTAATCTGGAAACAGTGATCGACCCATTGTCAACTAACAAATTAAAGGCTCTTTTTTACTGCTTGGTATGAGATTTTTTCAGCTCATAAAGGTCTGTGATTTGTTTTTTTTTTAATCTATACATAAAATCAGAATATGACCACTTAGGGAAACCTTGAACATGCATTTATATAAATATTAATAATTGAAAATTACATCAAAGAAAAGCTGACTATGTAAACATAGGATTCTTTATTTCATAGAAGAGGGTTTTTTTAACTCAGGGATATTATCTGTGAATGTGTTACGTAAACATCTCCTTATGACGCAAGTGCAGAAATGCTTCTTAGTAAAAAACATCTCTATAGGCTAGTAGCAGAGGAATGGTCACTCCTCATTTTCATACAGCAAAAAGCAGCACATTGGTACGGAGTTGTGGAAAATTCCAAACTCTCACATTGAAACAAAGTTGGACTTGCTCCTGCCAAACCCTTAGGTTATACAATGCAAGCAGAAAAATAAGTGAATGATAATAATTATGTCACATACTAATGTTGGCAGTAGCATACATGATTTATAGGATTTGACATTAGAAACAATGTTCTTTTGAAGTAGTATATATATGGGATAAATCATTGAACAACAGAAGAAACCGTACTGAAATTTGTACCCTCAAAGGTATTTGTTAAGCATCACCTTAAAAAAAATGCCCATAGAATCGAAAGAGACCAATGTTTATAAATGATTGTACAACTAATTGATTAGTAAGAAAAAGAAAAAAAAAAAAAAGCAATGACAAGTATTTTCAGCAACAAAATCCTCAGGCAAACTGAAGTTGAATTCAAATGTTTTGTCAGGTTTTTTCACCAGGTGGTTTTCTCCCTCTGCCAAACCCTTTCTACCTGTCAGAGGACCATCCATTCACAAATGTCTGAGATGTGCCTAGCCTGTAACAATGTCTATCACAAGCTACACCATAATCATAGAATCACAGAATCATAGAATGGTTTGTGTTGGAAGGGATGTTTAAAGGTCATCTAGTCCAAGTCCCCTGCAATGAGCAGGGACATCTTCAACTAGACCAGGTTGCTCAGAGCCCCATCCAACCTGACCTGGAATGTTTCCAGGGATGGGGCATCTACCACCTCCCTTGGCAACATGTTCCAGTGTTTCACCACCCTCCATGTAAAAAAATTTTTCTTATATCTAGTATGAATTTATCTGCTTTTAGTGTAAAACCATTACCCATTGTCCTATAACAACGGCCCTGATCCAAAGTTTGTCTCCATCTTTCATAGGAACAGCTTATAAAAGCCCCCTGTAAGTACTGAAAGGCTGCAATAAGGTCTTCTCAGAACCTTATCTTCTCCAGCTGAACAGCCCCGATTTTTTCAGCCTTTCCTCGTAGGAGAGGTGTTTCAGCTCTCTGAACTGATCTAATGCCACTTGTATAACAAATGGCCATTTGAGATGGCCTTGACCTCCAGTCTGGATTCAGATGCAATCATGACTTTTGAGGTGTTCGATCCTACTTTGGCTTATGAATAGAGGTAGATACATGGTTAAACTTATATTTGTTGATTTTGTTGTATATTTTTTGTTATTTCTCTTCTGTTATTGTAGCTCACCTATTCCCTCAGGTTACTGCTTCTCAAGTAGTATTTCATTTCTTTTTCACTTGCTTTGTTATATACTTAGTAGAAAGCCCTCCGTGTATTTTGTTTCTTCTTGCTTCGCCTCGCTTCCCTTTTCTTATTCTTTCTTAATGACAGTGGTATTGTACTTAAAACTGTCATTTACAGACTTGGAAAGGATCTCAGTCAAAAAATAAAATCAACCAACATTTGCATTAATTCAAAGACTTTGATACAATAATTTCATTTTACTGAAAAAAAGTTGAGATTTTTTACACCAAGGATAGGATAGAAAAGATTCATAGACAAGACCAAGATAAGCCTGTATTTTTATTTAATATTCATAACAGTTATGCTAAAAAATACAGTTTAAGAGCAAGATCCACTGTATGGAGCCCTGCAAGCATTGAGGTTTTGACCTTCCAACCTCTTGAATACTATGGCTTTAATAATGCTACTTGTAGCCTTGAAAAACATACTTTTTCCAGCAAGAAGTTTACTGTTTTCCCCAATGTAGTCTACATAAAGCTGCAACTGCTAAGGAATTTGGTATGGGTCTTTAAAAATTCCATTATTAATTATTACCACCCAAAGAAGATTGATACCAGCTGGAAGGAAAGTCCTTCAAAATAGACCATGCCTTGATTGCTGAAAGTTGCTTTCCTGAGAGACAGGGAACTTGCATTAAAATATTTACACTCACCCAGACAGCAAGGAGTTTCTGTGCTTCAGATGGATATTTGAATTAAGTGTAGACATTGAAAACCTATTCCTTAGCAGTATTTACAACACAAGATTTTCAGTTGTGAAGACAGAAATAGCTCACAAATCTGAAAAGCTTTAATTCAGAAAGTGAAACAAGTGTAAATACAGAGGAACTATTAGTTTGTAAATTATTATACTGGTGAATAAATAGTAACTGTCATCTGCAATCCAAGGATTGTTAGCTTATTTCCTGCTACCAGTTATTTTAGCTAATAGGGAGTCTAGAAAAAGCATTTTAATAGATGAAAAGCACAAGAATAGTTAGTAACCTTGGCATTTAAATGGCAAGAGAGCAAGCCTGAAGCTCTTTGAGAAACAAGAGCACTTGTGCAAAGCTTCTGTAGGTGGAAGAGAGACACAAATATTGATATTTCATATGTAAATTTTATATACAAATGCTACAGCCGATTTGGAGATTTATGTTAACAGGATTATTATTTTTGGTCCTGTATATTACACACTGTACCGGATAACTGCCTAATCTTATTGACGTTATCCCAGTTCTTCCTTCTTCACTTCTTAATTTCTGCAATTTTTCTCAGTTCTTTGCGGTAAACACTGTGTTTTCTCATGTACACTGGGTGCCTCCAAGCACAATTTATTTTCCTGGGTGCTGGATGACCAACAGCTATAAAACTGTTCTCGTTTCGTTCCTTGAGCAAGGAAAATAGAAAAATCTGACAAGGAGTCCCAGGGCTCTTTGGAATGTGTTAAAATGTCTGCTTTTCTCTGTGAACATCCCCTCTGACTGTCTCTATGTAGAGCTAAAGGAAGGATGCTGAGAGCACCTTTGCAATTTTGAAAGCTTGTGAGTGAGCTGTTGGGTCCTACTAATCTCCGAGAGTGAATGGGAAAGGGTAGCTACACATCAGAAGTGCAGGAACCAGGTATTCACTTTTTCTTTTGAGCTGGGTTGTACAGACCATGGCTGTGAACATGGGTTTGCTATGATTGCAGAATAAACAGATTTCTTTTGAACTGAGATGATTCTGGTATAAACACAATATTATGAGAAAAAACAGGATAGGCAGACATTACAATAAATAACACTTTTTTTCTGCCCTTGGGAACTGAAACAGCTGGTAAGATGAAATGTGGTTGTGTGCTAGAATGGACAATTCTGAAAGGGAAAATGGGGCCACAGGAGTATTTTCATGCATATTAAAACAAAATACTACCTTCTTGCACTTGGTAAGTCTGCATGCTCAGCTCTTTCTAATCCGTCTGCCATGGACTGTAAAATAAAATTGACCTTTAGTCTCCTTGTAATTAGGTTAACACCCAGGTTCAGGAATAAAATCCTATATTAAAAATAGTCAGCTTAATTTCGTCTCACTGTGCTAAGTATTATCTGGCAGAATCTCTGATGCTTTATCTAACAATTAATTTAGAAGGGATATCTCTTCTCACACACAGAAGATACATTACCAGACTGCTCTTTCAGAGCCAGTAATCTATGATCCCACTATACAGGTACAAATGTATTTTTCCCTTCAGCTTCCTGCTGGCTCAGTCACTTGTCTCTTTTCTTGCAGAATGATTCCTGGGGAAAGCAGTACTCATACGCACTCTTCAAAGCCATGAGCCATATGCTCTGCATTGGTTATGGAGCCCGTGCCCCTGTCAGCATGTCCGACCTCTGGATAACCATGTTGAGTATGATCGTGGGGGCTACTTGTTATGCTATGTTTGTTGGTCACGCCACTGCCCTCATACAGTCTCTGGATTCCTCACGACGACAATATCAAGAAAAGGTATCTCCTTTTAATGTAACTCCTTAAGTTTCAAAATAGATTAATGGGATGTTTTAAATGTGGAAGAGGCCATATGAGTTTACATGATATAATCTTGTAGCATCTGTATCCTGCAGCAGATTTCAATGAACACCAAGGAATTCAGAACAAACCATGGGCTCAACATATTCCTGCATGAACCCACTTTCCTTAGGGAGCAGATGGTTTTGCATGTCACATGCATTGAATGAAATCTTGGATGTGAAGCTTTCTTTAAACTCTGTGAAATGTTTGGTGAAAACTCCATCCTCTGGTTCAGACTGTGCTTTGTACCCCTGTGCTGCACTAGGTAGCTTGAACAAGGGCCTTGAGCTCAGTAACTTGGGCATGTCTATACAGTTTCCTGTCATTCTGTAAGACTGCAGTTTAGGTATAACCTTGGACATGTCAAAAGAATGGCCTTTAAATGACTACCAGACCAAATCAATTAGGTTTTTTTGGAACTACCTCAGAGAAGTACTCAGAATAGGTCTTTTTTTACTTTATAATGGTATTGTTTACATGCTAATCCATGACCTCATTAGGTCCTCTCCAAGGACAAAAGGAACGGTGGCCAAAAGGTAGAAAAGTAGAGAGAGTTTAGTGGAAGAGAGAGAGTTCTTTATGAAAAACAAAGAAAAAGGTTTTTTGATTCCTTGTAGGTACATTTGGAATTAGAAAGGCATAAATGAGTACAGGATGGGAACTTTCTGGAATGAGTACTAATTAACACTGTCAGTTGTTTAATAAAAGGCAGAGGCAAGTGTAGGCGAAGATGTGAAACCAGGAGATGAGTCTAGGAATGGTGGCATAAGGAAGAACAGATCAGAATGAACCTCAGCCAGGGACAATAAGGGTGTGCAGAGTTGCTGAGGTGCTTAAAAGAAGCCAAAATCGGTTATTACAGTAAATGGGGGAACTAGAGAGGCGGTGCCAGGAGAGAGGTCAGTTGAGCAAAGTAGTGAAATCAGAGAGTTCACATCAGCAAACAAGAAACAAGCCCTGATCAATAGTATTTGGCATATGTCCGTAAGAAAGTCCAGAAAGGCAAACTGGGCAGAAATCACAGTGTGATGGAACACAAGCTTGAGGGAGAAACCTGGAAGAGAGTAGGTAGAGGAGAGTGTGACCCTGGAATCTGCTGAAGATGAAGAGGAATGGCCTGAGTTTGCTAGACAAGAAAAAGGGAAAAGTCCAAGAAAGATTTGAGTAGGAAGGATTAGGATGTTTTCTTTACAAGTAGGCAAAGAGGGAGGAAGTCAGAGTGTGTGGGGGAAAAAGAGTTTCTGTTGAATTTTGTTAAGCTTGAGTCAAACGAATACCACAGTGTCAATATAACAGAGGCAGGGAGAGGTAAGGGAAGAGCTGTAAATCCAGTAACAGAAATATTAGCCAGTGGCTGACAATCTCACAGCTATTTAGAAGGTAAGTTTACAAGCAAGAAAGACCACATGGTGTTATCTTGAAACAAAGTGAGAATGAGGGGTTTAGAAGGAGAGGATGGGTGAGCATTAAAAACTCTAAAAATCTGAGCTCTGTCATTGACCACGTGAAAGTCCCTAACCCATTGCAGCATAAAGTCACGGGGCTAATCCTGGTGCGTGATGTAACCCAAAGTAATGGGCTTGTTGGGTCTGTGCTGCCAGCTGAAAGGGAAGAGTTTTTATCAAAATGGGACATTTGTAGGGAGCTGTGGGGCAGAAACATCTTAACCATGGACATGAAGGAAGATGTAGAGACGGAAACCCTAGATCTAATATAACTGCAGTTTCATTAGAGGTTAGGGTCAACATATATACACACACGTGCACAGATACATTAAATCAGCAGAAATGTCACCATCCACCTGAAACCTCATCTTCATAGTCATCCTCAGACCTTGCTGGCTGCAGCATGACATCACAGTGTTTTTAGCATCAGAAATATAATGCATGTCTAAAGATATTAGTATATTTTAAACTGTGTTGCGTAAATCCAGCTTCATTTGTGGTTTTGGTGTAAATTAAAACCCAGTAGCAGTCAAGTGGTATTGCATTTCTCATGTTTTCACATTATAGCAAACAAAGCCTTTTTTTTTTCCTCTCTGTTTTTTTTGCACACACTTTAGTAAACAATAGCATAGAAATGTCTGGCATTTTTCAGTTCCTGCAGTTCTCAACATTTTCATTCTTTCTGTTTTTACTTCTTGTTTCCTGACATCACAGGCAAAACCATAGCATGGCATTAACAATCAGGAATGAGTGAAATGAGCCTGAATTTGCATATTTCTATGCTTTAGAAAAATGTTTCTCTTTTTCTGGCAGCTGTTTCTATGCCAGTTATTATGGGCTAAAGCTAAAGGATGTCTTAATTAAAGAATTTTTTTCTACTGATTTCTGAGACCCTGAAATCATATGCATAATATCAGCTGTACCAACTATACTGATGTGTTTATATATTCTTTGCTATTGCTTTATCATAGTTTAATCACACATTTTTAAATAAATCTTTGATTATAGCCTAAGAATTACAAGCCATTACTGTATACTGCTAATGTATATTACATATTTTTCTTTACTCTGCAAACTAGATAAATGGGTATTTCAAAGATCAGTTTGTGCTACCAATTTTTTCAGCATGCATTGGCAGATAAAAATAGCTTATATTTCACTTAAATGAGTCTTGAGAAAAAGGTAAATCAAATCTCCAGCCACAGGTTTCATAGTTTATGTATATATACTGCAATATCGATTTTTGACAAGTGCATTGCTTTTTTCTTCTCCTGGAATTAAAAAATTGGAAAAATCAGGAGACTGTGACTTGTCTTGATTTTTGGGGCTTAAATGCTAGGATCAACTTCTTTTTTCAGTCTTACATATATAAGATTGTGCATTTCTTGAATCCATTGTTTTCTTTATAACAGTTACAGAAAATTATGTAATTACCGTGAATTGCTAGGTGACATAGAATGATAGTGGAAATGAAGGAAGAGGTTGTTCTTTGGGTCTTCTCTGCATAACACCATTCCAAAATCTTATCCTCCTTTTTTTTTGACTGCTTTTTTTTCTGCTGTAGCTAAAATAATATTTCATAAATGTGTCTGTGGAATGCAGCTAGTGGAAGGAGTGTTCTGGTCCTTCTCACATTGAAAGCAGCAAGAAATGACATATTTGCTGAAAACTTTGTATCTTCCTCACTGAGATCCTCCCAAAGCTCAGGGTATGCAAAACTAGAACAGACATAATTAATAATGGAAGAAATAAACACAGGAAGACAAGAGAGAGCTTTCATTAAACCAAACACATCAAAGAGCACCATCTAAGAGCACCGGCTAAGAATTTAACCTGTGCTGGGAAAAAGTATGATAAGAAAGCAAATACTGTTCCACGTGTTTGCTGTTATGGGTCAAAGACATCATTTAGCAGGTGAAATTAACAGTAATTGTAAGCTGTGAAATGTAGAAGGTGGACAATAAAATCACATACCAAGAAATACTACAAAAAAAGACACAGCTGTTCATTCTGGTCACTGTGAGGAAGTTCAGGTGTTTTTCTGCTGAAGTGAGTGGAACTGTTCTCAGTGGAAAAATACCTCTCAGACTGAATACATAGATCTTGGTAAAATGAGTGAAGGGTGAATACCTGACAAAGGAGAAATACATGTCCAAGTCAGGTATACTCAATCCATATTCCCTTTTCAGTAAGAAAGTCTGACAGGCCATTCTACCTCATAAAAGGACTGAAAAAAATCAATGAATCAATGGCATCTTAGCACTCTCCATCCTGTCTTTGGTATAAGTCAAAGAAGAATGCAGCAGTAAATAAAAGCAATATCACCACATCTCAAAGACATTTGCCTTTGCACAGGCAAAATTTATTTGAAAGAACCAGAAATGCATACACAGAACTTGTTAACGAACTACTGTGAAAAAAGCAACCAAATGGACAGTTACTTGACAAGGAGGTGAAGATAATTAGTTACATATTTCTTCCTTTATATGTTGGCAGTTTTTAATAGGAAGATGTTCACCTAATGCTGTGAATGTCATTGAATAATCTTGATTGACAACAGGTTAAGAATTCATCTGTTCCAGTCTGTTGTGGGCGTAAAATATCTAGGAACAAAGTCACAACAAGCTAATAGAGGCAATATTTGTAGTAGCATACAAATAGTCTCATAGCACAAAGATTTTTAAATTGGTTTGATAAAATGACAACTATTAGATCCATTTTCATTATGCCATCATTTTGTGTATTTTGATTTTTCTCTATTTGTAAGCAACTCAAACAACTGCACAAGGTTACAAAAGTAGAAAAAACAGTCAAAGCAATTTTACCAATTGCAAGTAGTAAAGGGACATATAATATAATTAATTTAATCCTATATGTGTCATAGGACATGCAAAAAAATTGACAACTATCTCCCTATAGTGGACGCTTTCCCAGTGATGGGAAGATATGTTTAAACATTGTTAAGGCTGCAAAAGAATTCTGGGCTTGACATCAACTTCAGATGTCCCAAAGGACATCTCCTTCTAACCTTATACTCTGCTTTTATCTCATCTCTTAATTAACGGTCTTTTAGCACATCCTCAGTTAAATCAGTCTAGTTCAAAGGGAGAAAAAGATCTAAAAGTGCTTTTCTACAGAGAAAAAGCAACAACTGCATCTAAAGATAATTTAAAAGCAACTTACTAATTGGCAATGTGCATTTTTACATAGGCAGCATCGGGATTTGAAGCACAAATGGCTCCTTTTTCATTTCTTAAGGATGCAAAGAAATGTTTACAAATGAAGAACAGAGTTAAGGCAGGTGGACAGCTTCAGCTTTTGCAGCACAAGACCTTGCACTAGCTTTTCAAACCTTCCCCGCACAGCTCCAGTTTGGGTAGCTAAGTGGCCTGTGTAGTCCACGGAGAGACATGCTCGACATGCGTTTGTGAGAGGCACCAAGCTCTCAGGGGCAGCAGTGGCGGAAGCGTGTTTCCGCTTCCCTTCCCCTCC